CACCCCCTGGTGAACTTCTACCCCAGCCGCTAAATACAAAACAATGGACAGATGAGCAATTTCTCTTGCCTAAATCCATTTTTGAAGCTACTAAACTTACGCCACAGATAAAACATCTGCATACATTATAGCCATTTCCCTCTGCCTTTTCCAGTCACTGTCCAACCTAATTTTTCAATCAAAATGATTACAAGTAAAACCATAATGAGTTCCCTTGGCCAATTTCTCTACTTTCTCATACCTTATTACACACCAACTATACCCAAGCAAAACCAAAATCAGTGCAACGTGGGTATAAAATGTTATCAGTTAAAAATAGCAGCATTTCACTTCTTTTTGCAGAAAAGTGCTACTATGAAGGAACAATCGATTGGAGAATCTATCTGAAGTCCATAATACAACACATTATTAGCAAAAAGTGAACCCGGCAAGTCATAGTCAGGATGAGCTTGATCTCTAATGTAGGAACACACTACCACCTTATGCATTTTACGCCTTTTGACTACAGCATTCTATGTATAATTATTTTGATCCAGGAATCTGTACCTTCAGGGTGAAATAAATGACTGACAGAAATATTTATTAGCCACATAATTTTGTTACAGATGCTTTAACTATAGGATAAAGCTAACTGATTAATTAAGACAGAATAGAATTTTCTGTATTACGGTTCATTTAAACTATGCCGAGTTGCATTAAAGCATGATCTACATTCAGAGCCCCCAAAGAGAAGCGAAGAGATACAATCAGCAGAAATTACACTGGAAGTATTTAATGTAAATTGTATTACTCTGTTGCTGTTGCTGTATGCAATATTAATTATGTTTAGAAATAAGTTTTACTAAACTGCTCATAGCCCATTAAATATTAATCATGAATACAGAAATTAACCTCTGGGGCTATCAATGGCTAATTAGCCAGGGCAGAGTACTGTGGTAATGTGGATATTCTGCTTTTGGTACCTGAGGTAGCTCAATCAGAGCTGGCTTATGCGTGTCTGTATAACGCTGCACTGAGCCGTGGAGACGTGCCTCAGCATGGCAGGCAGAAAAAGTGCTATTAGCAGAGTAACTGGTTTTATAAAGCTCTCTTCCATTGTATTTTATCATAATCTGTAGATCTTCAAAACCAAAAATAGCTCTGAATTCTACTCAGGCTACTTTTAACGTTATGTTCCCATGTCTCTAAGTGTAATATTCAAGAGAAAATGCTTTAATATTGGAGGCAAAACTGAAATCCTCTCCAATTGGACATCATTTTCCATCTCTGGTTCAGTATAAATTCTGGCAAATGCATACTAGAAAAGTGTATTTTGTGTCAGTTAGACTACACCACACTACAACTGTAAGTACCAAACTCTCTTGATCTGAAGTTCAGTGTTTATACACATTGCTTCTGTAGCTAAAAGAAGGAACATATCATATTTAAGACTTTTGAAATAAAAATGCAACTGTAACACTTCAACAGCTGCTAGGACACACCAAATTTGGAACAGAAAATAACAAGTAAGTAAACTGGCTATTCAATGTAAAGCAGAACGTTTTCATTCACTAGGATTCCTTGGGTATCTATTCAATTCCTTGGAGATCATGCAAGCTAGAGTTAGTCTGGTCTGAAACGGTATATACTGTGATCCCAGTGTAGGGGACGGTGCCCGTGAAGGGTCCAGCCAGGTGTGGGTGCTCAGCTCGTGCTTAGCACAGGCTGATAACACTGAATTAAGATCGAAATGTTACCGCAGGAAGCAAAGGAAGACACAGGTATCTTTTGCCCAAGAATCTAGAAGATTCCCAGGAAAAGGGAAATTTAGAGTCTAGATTCTCCTGCACAGAAGAGTGTTCAACAACTTGGGAACCTGCCCGAGGAGCAGAACCAAGTACCACATCCACATAAAGTGAGACAACCACAAAGAAAAGAATGGGACCAAAGGGGAATCAGCAAAAAGCTCAGCCTTTAGTTGAATAAGCAGTATGTTCTCTCGAGGATGCGTCCTGAGCTCGGCTCTGCTCTTCCTACATGTCCATGCCTTCTGCATTAAAGAACACTTGAATCAAATATATGAACATCCTTACAGTGGGAACCACAACCCAGGATTCATAAATACTGGAAGCGTCTACTGTGCTGCACTGAGTTCATGCTCTTGTCTGTGCTCTCTTACATTTTTCTATCAAATGACTAATTTGTCCTACGCTAGTGAGAAGGAGGATTTAATCACACTACAGAAGTTTCCTAGGTTTTTCAAAAATCATGGAAAGAGGAAGATGACTCCTGGAGGCCCCTAGGAATACTCTTCAGTTTGCCCCTCTCTTTACTGTCTGTGCACAGAACCTGAGCACCTATGGTAGGAGCTCCAAAGCATACGTCAATCACTTTCTAAATACACATTACAACTGTTGAGAGAAGCACTGAAGAGCAGACCATATGGCCCCCAAGCAATCTGCCCAAAATCATCTAAGAAGCCTTCAGTATAACCAAGAATAAAAGCAGGTACACAGGAGTTTCTCTCCGTTTTTTTGGCTACGCTTCCTTTCTTAAAAGTCTTCACTGAAATCTATCCTGAATTACAGGATTACATTAATTACAAAAATTAAATTATTGTGTTGGAATTCAGCCTGAGGAATAGCCAGAATATGGACAAAACCCACATGATTTTTAAAAAGAATAAATCCAACTCCTTTTAAAAGGTATTTATTTATTGTTCTTTTACAAGGACAGCACATCACTATGATCTATTCTATTTCAGTCGTTAGTGAACTGCAATACAGAGTAATTACACTGGACAGTCTATGGAAGCATGGAAAACCATATATTAAAAGCGGACTGGTTCTTATTTTGCTTATCTGTTCTTAATCAGAGAAGCATACACTTCTTCTGAAGTATATCAAACTTGATATCAAAGTAATTATATAGCAAACTCATTACTTTCTTCCATTTATAAAAAGTCCTGCGATTATTGATATTGAGAACTTCTAACAACTATATTGTTTACAGCAAAATACTGAAAAATTGCAAAGGAAAATCTTGCCCAAAAGGAATATGGTTTTGTTTTTTTCAAGTTCCTTGCAGCTTGAGAAGCAGGTTTGGTTAATATAGTCTATCTTTAAAGGCTGATGTTTCCAATTCTCTGAGAAATTTTGACAGCAGGCCAAAAATTATCGCACAGAAACATTTTATGGAGGTACCTACAAAGTAGCCAAGGTAGCAAAGCAAACATTATTCTGTCAACATCTGAGATGATCAGAGGAGCTTGAGAAAAAAAAGAAAAAAAAAAAAAGAAGGTATTAGCAGGGCTTGGCTCCTGCTTCCAACCACATGGTTGAACTTCCTCCTTCTCTTGGAGAAACCACCTCAGGTAAGAATCCCCTCAGACTCCCAGATGTGGGGGATGGAAATCTGGGCCCTTATTCTCAAGAGGTGGTACTAAAGCTGCTGACTAGTCCTCAGTCTACATAACCAGCCAGTTACTGTACCACGCCCGTACTAAACAAGCACTGCAATAAGGGTGCCAACATCAACAAGATCATCTCTGACAGCTTGTGCTCTACCAGTGACGTCAAGCTCCGCATCTGCCGGAGAGTTTCCAGATGTTAAGAGGGTTTCTAGATCACAGGAGCAGAGCGGCCCTTCCTGGCAGTGAAGTTTCCCCAGCCCGATAACCACAGTATAAGATAGGAATATAAATCCAATGAACTACCCACGTTGCAAGCATCATGGAAGAAAAACAGAATTTAGGCTGCCTACAATAATAATGAAAAACCAAAGGTTAAATAGTTGTGTGAGTACTGAACTACTTCATCGCATGGTTAGAGATGGTGTTCCTGTAAAGAAACAGGCTTACTTCTGCTTTCCGCGTCTTGCAGATAAAATGTCTTTTTTATACACTGCATGACATCTATACGTGTTGCCAATATCTTCCAAATCTGGCTACCAGAATGTGTAAGAAATTGAGTAGTATTAAGCATATGAAAAACACCTGCATTTCTCTGTCTGAGTGAAAACATTTAGCATGACAGTATCAGAAAATTCGAATGTAAATTAGAAGTTAATTAATAACTGCACTAGAAAAAAAATCATATCTATATTAACCCTTCAAAACCTGACATGCAAAATGTTTAACAACTAAAAAAAGTTAAAAGCAAGCAATCTTTAGAATGAACATATGAATGCAAATAATGTTTTTCCTTGGCTGGAATGGAAACTCACCTCCTCATATACTTTCTTGGCGTTGCTGTTATCGCCTATCAAGAGGTAACCAACACCAAGGTCATTCTTGAATGAAGTATCACCAGGAAACAGCTGAACTAATTTCTGCAGGGTAACCAGGGAACCCCTCATGCGACCTAATTTGATTGAACGAGGCTGATTTACAACTACAGGTATGAGTAACAGTAGTAAGACACTTACACAACATTTAAGAAAACACAAATCAGAGCCAGGCGTTCCACTTTCAGTAATGATCAAGAAGCAGGACTTGAAAAAACACTTGTGCAGAGAGCAGTATATTGAGCTGCTTGGTTGGCACGGGGGCTGTAGCCTAGAAGGAATACTTCAGGAAACCACTGCGACTGCACATCCTGCAGTGTTATGGTAACCTCTAGTGGAGAACCATCCGCAGTGTAGCAGTAACAACAATTTAAGCTTTAACCATTTAAGCTTTGGTTGCTCTTCCATCCACAGATGTCAAAGTGCTTGACAAAACTAGGTAAACATATCAAAATAAACTTAGTCTTAATTAATTAAACACATTTCTAGCGTTAAGCAATAGTTCTATATTTCCATTATGAACTTAAACATGCTTTAAGTACTTAAAATTATGTTCCTCGACTTCTTAGATGAGGTCTTGCTGAGGAACAGTAAGATCAAAACAAACTGGTATTAAAATCCAACCCATGGGAACAGAACTCTCTTCTCCACCAAAGTCGACTGTACCTCATATTCTAATCAGCACTTCTCGTACATCACAGAATTGAGATTTAAACTTTCAGATGTTATCTCCAAGTTCAATTCCATTCTTCTCTGTTCACTGAAAGTTTATTCTGGGTATGTTTACTCTGCATATGCCATTAATTTTGTCATGATTTCCCTCAGTTTCAGTAGAAAAAGACAACTATTTTCTTCTTTCTCTGTCAGTAAAAATTTTTGACCATCTCCTAACATAGCTTCTCATAGCACCTAGTGCACTGTTCTCTACAGGCACTGTTATCATACAAGTAATTATATACACTAGTTTCCTGGAAAAATTTTAAAGAATTATTTTAAAATATTTTTTCATAAGCATGTAAGAGATTAGGAACACACATCCTACCAAAAACTCAATGGAAATGACACTTAAGTCCTTAGCGAACTTCTGAAAGTCTTGCTCACACAAAGTCCATAATTTTTACACCGCCCTCAAATCTTACCAAGAAACTGTTGCCTGTCTGCTTCTCTTTTCAAGCTCAGTTTTATCAGATCTGAAGGGACATTTGGCAGGCCAGCCACCTCATCATAGGTGTTGATAGCTTTTTGCAGCATCTCATTACTTCTCATTTTCTCGGCTAAGTCATCTTCAGACTAGAAAGAATCACAAAACCATTATTAGAACACATAATAATCCATTAGTCTTGAAAATAACTTTGTTTTCTTAAAAGGCAAACTATGCAATTGTTAGATTATGGGAATAATTTTACAGTTATCTCTAATCTATATAATTTTGGCATAACAATGGAGAACTTATTTGGTTGTGCTTTATGGTAAGGCAGATTACAATTACTGTTAACTCTTGCTTCCTGCAAACTGTTTGAACGCAGAAGTACGAGAAAATTTGCACCTAAAACACACATTAAGACAGGTTTTTGGTTAATGTTTGTAGAAGTCAATTTCTGCTTTCAAAACAAATGAAGCCATTTTTTTTAATAATAAGAAATGTAAATTGTCGCCTACGGATTTTTTGCATACTAAGCCTCACACTGGCAGCAACAGACAGATTCAAAACAGACCAACAAACATTTCTTTCATATATTCTGACATAAATTTATTTACACTCTCGGAAAAGTAATTAGGAATTGGTTTTACTCTTGAATATGTTGATAGAATATCTATCCTATAACTCTTTCAGAACTTAAATGTGTTCATCAAGTTCAGGAGCAGACCAAAGGCTACATGAGATCTCTACTGTGAAATTACAGCTGCAGAGAAGCTGATGGAAGCTACAATTGGTTTCACCGGCGGTATGGCATTTTCATAATCTCTTTCCACAGCTGAAAAAAATAAGGTTGTATCTCAAACGTGGAATTTTTAAAGCATTACTTCGAATTGTTTATACAAATGCATGCATTTTCATGTCTTTAATGCATCCTTCCCAAACACTTCTATTTTTATTGGCTTATGGTCTTTCTTAAGTCAATTAGCAGAGGAAGGTGCAGGTGCATTGCAAGCACTGCAGGTGCCAAAGCTCCTAGCGGTCTATCGAAATTCACTGTTGCATCAATCACACACATTAGATGAAACAGCTTCAACTGTGTTAGCTGTATATGCTGTATCTGGAATCTTTTTGCACTTCTGTCTTTTACTTTTCTTGCCCTTGAGCTACTTTGAAATTTGAGTATGGGAAATACCAAACAATATGGTTACTCAGTCGATCAGTCGGTTTTCAGAGATAACTTCAGAAAACAGTTTTAAGCGATAATGTATTTTTCTGAGGTACATTGACTAGGAAATTTGCTTTTCCTTTTTTGAGGGAATTGCAAGGCAAAGAATAGTAAAAAATACATAAGGAGGGGCAAAGATTGTCAGCATAAAATCTGCATAAATTCACCAGTATAGACACTATAAATCATATAAGGAGGTTTAAGATCAGACTACTGCTCTTTTCAGCCTTAAAGATGTTAAAAACTTCTGTAGAATATTTTTCATCGGGCCTAAGTGTAGCTCCAGAAATCAAATCAGGAATTGCTCAGATTTCTCAAAACCACTTTAATTATGAAATCTTTTGCAGAATTTTGGGGAAAACAGTTGCCTTTTAAAGCTATTAAAAGATCCAGAAAAATTAATCCTCGTGTCTTATTAGAAACTGAATTTACAAAATCAGCATGTAACGTTGGTTCATGGTTCCCAGACATGGAGAAGTACACTCTTGCGGTGAATTAATTCCTGGCCTTTACCCTTACCCTTCTCTGCAATTTTACCTTTAGTTAGTGATGAGAGAGCACACATTTGAATGTGTTGTATTGGTATTTAACAGTAATGCTGTGTTACAGTGTAAATCCTAAGAATAATCCATCTGTCAGTGAAGCCCATGATCCTCCCATTCCTTCAAGTAGCTTCAATGAAATTGTCACTGGTCATATTAATATGAGTGTTCAGTAAAAAGACCAGGATAAGCCTACAAAGGCTACTGAAAATGGAAGTTACAGTTGTTTTTATACATTCCCAGAAAATGTTTGCTACTTATGACTTCAGATTTTGGTCTGTATGACCTTTTAAGCATTATTAAAGTACTAGGTGGTAACTACAAATTGTTGTAAAGGGACAAATGAAGTTCTGTCACTGAGGGGGGAATTCTGAATGAGAATAAGCTTCATAGCTGGCTTCAATGATCTGCCCTCCTCCCTAAAAGCAGTGAGCTAATGAGGAAGCAGGAAGCATATTCTCTTAGATATAATGAGTAGATTCATAAAAAAGGTAAATATTAAAGGTGTAACTTAACAGAGTTAAGTCCATCACCTCTGTGAACCAAAGTGGTCTCCTGCTGCAAGAAGGCAAAGAGTTCAGCAGACCATCCCTCACAGAGCACTGAGGTATTTGGTCTGCTGTGTATCAAGTGCTTCTGCGATAGTTTTTCAGATAATCACGGCTTTGGTTTTACCATGACTATTATTAACCAAGTGAAAACTGGTTGTGACTCCAATTCAAGTGCCTCATTCATCATAAACCAACACAATTCCCTTCTACAGTGAGGGCTTCACTTTGCTCATCTTGATTAACATGAGTTCAAGCAGTCTGTTATCACACCTGGTGCAGCAGGATTATCCTATTATTTACGGAAATACAAGGATTATTTTCTTCTGAGACATCCCAACACGGTTCAAAAGTATTCTGAATGCAGAGCTTATTTTCTGATTATTTTTTTTTTTTGGAGGGGAACAGCTGAAACAGAACTCATTTCACAAGAAAAAGCTAATTAAGCCTCCTTACCTAAGAATTTGTATTCTTTATCCTTTAACACTCTCTCTATAAAAACTCCCAATCCCCTTCTCTATTCCCACTAAGCAAAAAGCAGCATTCAGCCCAGAGCTGACTGACGGGTTGATTTACCAGCTGCAGCGAAGAGTATGTAACAGCGAAGCTCTGCCTGTTGTTCCTGCCCTGGGATGCTAGTTGTGATTTATCTCTTACCGTTCATCTGATCGTTTTCATGAGATCTACACAGGATGTATCTTATTTTCGTATTATTTACAATATTTCCTACTAGACTAAAGTTAGACAAAAGCTCCCAAAGTAATTGGGGAAGGATAAAGGACTGAAGCAGATACAATACGACAGATCACATAATTTTTTTTTTCCCTAGGAAACATCCATAAAATTATAAATGAAGCCTGACCGAGGTTTAGAACTCTATTGTGAAAAAAGGCTTATTTTATCTTTTTTAACATTTATTGCTTTTTTTTAGTACCTGTGCTTTCCCGTATCTTGCTCGAGGACTCTGTGGATATTGATTCACTAATGCTTCAAAGGCCCTTAGAGCTTCTTCAACTTTTCCCTGGAAAGTAGAGATATTTATCAGCAATTCTATCTAATAAAAATGCTGAAGGATGCATGATCTAATAACATATTAGTTTCCCCAATTAAAAATCAAAACCAAAAATGCAGACTGAATCAACTCGTATTCACTCATATTTTTGTTGGGATTGCCTGCTTATTTAAGAGAAATCGGTTATCCTTATTTATGAAACAATATTATCTACTTTCCACGGTTAAAATGAATAGCTTTGTTTTTATTTTACTCGCTTTCCCTTTGTTGACTGGAAAAAACGCTAAGATGACAATAACCTGTCTATATAAAAATGTAAAGATTTTATTGCCAACAACTAAATCCAAACTGAATGTAACAGAGACTAGAAGGGAAGTTCTAGACATACCTGGAAACTTCCTCCCTGCATACCTCACATGATGAACGGTACCATAACTTTTTTTAATACTGTAGACTCATCCCTAGCGTATGGATGTTTCCCCCAAATGTTTTGCATAACGATGTCCCTCAGGACACCTCACACGTGCTCCGTGTCTCTTCCCTGCCGCATACAAAATCCGAACCTAACTACGGTAGTCTCATGATTGATGCTGACCAGCAAGTACGGGTGGAAGTTGAGGAGAACCAGTCGCACCGTTATGTAGGAGCTAAGCACTGCTTGGCAAAATTTGGCATCAGGTCTCATTGCCACTTCCAACTCTTACAGCTTTATAAATATGAGTGGACTATTATACACAACTGTCTTACTATCTTCAAATATTACATGTGTTTGTTTTGTAACTAAATTTATCCTGCTTCCTACAAGCCACGTGTGATTTTCTGCGACCCACCAAGAGACACAGGCAGGAAAAGCGAGTCAGCCAGCTGACCCTGTAGGCTCATCAAAAGTTTCTGTTATGCCTTTCTCTGATCAACCAATTGTTTAAGTAACAAGAAGCATGAAAATGCTTTTTATTTTCATATTCTAACACGTAGTGAAGAGCAGCAGCCTGAGGCCAATGCTCACTATGTAGTATCCCTTCAGCCCCATCAGAGACCTACAGGAACTCTGGGGCTGCACAGATGCCAACGTAAAGCTAAAACTGCACAGTCAGTGTTCCGAAAATCAAGACTAATCCTACACCTGCAGTGACTAAGATAGTTTTTACTGTACTGATAATAGTGTACCTCACTGCTCAGCCATCTCAAATCCAGCGTACAACAAAGCCCTGCCGCTGTTCTCCACGTGCTAGGACTGTCTGTGAGGCACATCAGAGTTTTTAATAAGATTTACATCCAAAAGACTTAAGGTTTCTCATTTCTAACAGTCATATAGTCTTGCTTCAGTATTTAATCTCATATCTGGAAAAGGGATATCTCTGCAAAGGTCTTGTTTTCTGAAACACTCAAGTAAAAGGATAAAATTGGAAGTTATCCGAGGAGATGACTGAAGATTTTTTGTTTATTGTTGGGGGTTTTTGTTTGTTTTTCATAGCCAAGTGATTAAATTCAGAACTACCAAAACTGACTGACTGATGTTAAGGTCTTGCTGCCACCGGTGGGAAGCAGGAACATCTGCTTCGTGCTTTAAGCGGCCGTATGGGAGCAGAGACACTCACGGGACGCACGCAGAATCCCAACAGAAACAATGCCTACTACAAAGATTTGCACCTAATGCTCATGAAGCGTATGAAACCGAGAGATCCATAAAAACACACTTATGTTATTTAAGTGCTCTGATAATAGTTGACTTCAGTACTCAAATGGACAACAGTGATAGGTGTGGAATAATTACCTTGGGGGCACAAATTATCGAAACTAATTATCGAAGGCACTCTTATTAAGAGTAAAGCTATATCCACATTCTCAGCACATAAGGCATCTGCTGTGCACACAAGGGATCTGCTCTGCGATGGTTCCTCACCCCCAACTTGGCCTGCAGCCTCGGACGTTAACACACCAAGGAAGCCTGGTGTGCGGGCACAAAGAGGAACGCAGGGTGGAGCGGTGTGAAGATACCATGGCCAGGTTCTGTGTACAAGGCAGATACAGGGACTAGAAGGTACTGTGCACACAGCTGCAGTCAAATAAGAGACAAATATCCCTTTCCACCCAGAATGCCGGTGCTGAGCTAGCAGTTGTGATGAAATGTGTCCTGTGCATGAACTCTGCTCATTATACTACCAAAACACACCTCCATCCCAAAAGCTACCCACCTCCCTTTTACCTTGAGCATGCTCTCTAAATTCTTTCTTGTCTGTAACTTTAAAAGCAAAGTGACAGAATTTTACATCAATCAATAACGAAAGTATGTATGACTAGAGTCACTCCAGCTCCACCTAAACTTAGAAAATAGTATAAAATACCGTAACGACATGGGGAAGGGGGACACAACATCACTGAGAAGTCAAGGAGCATCTCAGACTTCTGGGATCAGTCAATGGGCTGAATCTCTCTTCCCCTCCCACAGGGATGCCTTTGGGTAGGACTCGCACCCTTGGTTATACCAAGTGCTTCCCTGGGAAACTTAGAAATCAAGCTTGTATTTGTCATCACATTAGTAGCACTATATAGTCACCTTAATATATATTTTTTTGGTACCAAAGTGTATTTTTGTAATCCAAGTATATTTTTGCAGACAGTGTATTAATCACTGGCTATTTAAAAGAACTTCTATCTGTTGCTTTAATAAACTATATTATCAGTGAATCTAGTCGTGAGAATTTCTTATTGAATGCGCCGAGACTTATAGTGTGTTAATAAACTATATTATCAGTGAATCTAGTAGTGAGAATTTCTTATTGAATGCGCCCAGACTTATAGTGTATATCATTCTACTCGTGAATCTGCATAGGTGTGTAAATTCAATGATCTAACGACTCAATTTTGCACTATTAGTGAATTTGTAACCGTGTGAATTCAACGTACCGCCGTACCGGCTGTTGGGCACAATCGGACTTAGAGTGTCGACTTGAGGCTGGTTTTGGTGTAACTGGGCATCACCCAGAAGCAAAGCTCAGCTGGCCCCAGCCCCTCTGGTATCTGAGGACAAGCTGGAACGCAAGGGGGTTTAGTTTCTGCCAAATGAATTAACCCTTAAGGCGACAATAGGACAGAAATAACGCCGTTCCATGTAAGCAGTTTTTTGACGACAGGAATTCAACAGCTAAGCTAAGTATTTTCAAGCCTAAAGGTGAGCAAACACACATGAACACACACTTGTGACTTTAAAAAACTTAAGATAAACTATCCTGCAGAAATGAAACTTGGACAAATATGCAGTGAATATTTAATTTTTAAAAGTTAATTTCACAGACATTAACCTCAAAGTAATACTTCATTTTTCTAAGTTAATTTTTATATTATTCGTTTTTCTCCACTGTCTACAGTCCTGAGTGAAACATTCAAAACTTACTTTTTTACGTAGTTTTTCTGCAGCATCTAGTTCAGCTTTGATGGTCTTATCAAACTTGTTTAAGAGTTTTGGCTTCTTCTTTTTAGCTGGAAGAGATTTAAAAACCACACAGTTCATTACGTCTTTCATATCTCGCAGCAATTGTTTGGAGTAACCTTTACCAGCACAGTACTATTCACCAGTTAAAGCACATGATTTTCAAATAAGGCACTTTCAAAACACACTGAAAAGAAATTGATTTCTTACTTATTACAATCACAAACTCCTGTATGAAAAAGCAATCTCCAGTCATTCAAACTGAGTAAGTTGGCAGTGAAGTTTTTGAAAAAGCATTTTTCATCTCATATAGTCAAGGATTTTTTTTGCAAATAGTTCAACTGACACGGTTTCATCTCATATAGTCAAGGATTTTTTTTCCAAATGGTTCAACTGACATGGAAGAACAAAGAGAACTGTTATTTTTCCTCATTTATATGGTATTATAAAAAAATATCATTACCAGGACTTGTTAGTAATTTCTAAAGTTGTGCATATGTATGTCTACCTCCCTGTCTAAAGCAATTAAAAGAGTTGATAGAAATCATAGTTACTCAGGGTAGGAGGGACTCAAGAAGTGATGTTTTTTTTAAACAGGTTCAACACTGAAATGCCTGACCGAGACCTCTTTAAGTGATCAAGTTTCCACAGCTTAGCAAGCGATGACACAGTAGCAGAGCAGCAGCAGTACGTAGCAAACCAGTCTTGAAGGGAATTGTGTAAAGTAAATTGCATTTGAAGTAAATTGAAGTAAATTGTGTCAATTTAAACAGCTATTTACTTCGCAGCAGTTCACTCCTAAACAATGTCTATTTGGTTGCATTAAATATACTAGATGTTAAAAAAAATGCAAATACACTACTGAAGGATACGGCAGCAGATAGTTCTCCACATTTCCCATAGCTAAACTTTGCTTTCCCACTTCATTAGGGGGAAAAAAAAAAAAATCCACCACCATTTCTGACACAAGCAAGGGAAAAATATATTGACTGATACAAGTAACTACCAGCAATGTACGTATGTAATTAGTAGCACGTATTTTTGCTTAAATTATGCATTACTGTTTTTTTCCCCTCTATGGACAGTAAGTCATTAACAGCATGAAAAGAAGTAAAATTATTATTTTCTTTGTAGAAGTTTAAAGTGGGAATGCTGTAACCGGTACGTGTAAAGCTCAACCCATACACCACACAGCTTAACCTCACAAGACTGCTGCAATGCCGCAGCAAGTCTTTTGGATAATGAGGCATTGCAACCGGCCGTGTTTCATTCTGCTTCCCAAGTCCTTGGGTGCACAGCTCAGGAATGACAAGAGCCACCACACGCTACTGGAATTAATGAATCATGATGCATTAAATGATACTTTCTCTCTCAGACTCTGCTCCTACAAAGAGCTTTAGGCAGACAAATCGCTTTGTCTACATTAAACCTCAGCGAAAGACCAACGCCTTAGTTAATGCTAAACCAACACTAACCCCATCCAGGCATTAGAGGATCTCGTGAGTCTGAGCTGCTTCTGTACAAGATAAGAAAAAACCCAAACCTTGACTACCTTTGGTTCTTTCTGTGGCAGACTTTTACTGTCGTGTTCAACATTGAACTCAGACAGCTCTGCACAGAGAGAGTTTTTCTTACATTACCTTGATAAACTATTCTGCAGCATCGGCTCGCACAGTTAAATAGATGCTATTGCTTTTCAGGGGCAGGGGAGAAATGGAATTTAAACAGGATTGAGGCTATCCTACTAAATTCCATTCACTTATTCACAAAGGTTGTATGAAGCTTTAAATATAAAAATGTACTAAGATCTATAAAGGAAAGGTACTAAAGAAGCAGTGCATTAGGATTATTAAATCCCTGTTGATCCTTCTTAGAATAGAAGTGACTGTAATTTTCCAAGGCATTAGCTACCAAGAAGTTGAGAAGGAAAAAACTGCCTGACATACAGTAGTTTACTCCTTTTTCAGGATAAAGAACCAAATAGCATACTTTAATATATTGGTTCTGCTGCTCTAAGCACTTCAGGCTTTCATTGTACTTTAGGACTTGAAATCAAGCATTTATACTCATGCACACACCACCACACTTAAGGAATGTAGTTACTATGGAACTGAACTGACCAAACAGATGCTTTGCTTGCTTTTTTGTTATATATATAAAACAATATAGATGATTTTCATGTCTTTTGTTCATTCTCCATAGATAATATAGTAGAAATGCATTTCAATCTGTGGCCGATTCCAGTCTTGCTATGTCTTACTTTAATATTACCCATTTCATAGGAAAGCAAGGTCTTTAATGCATTTTCATGCAGTTGGTGATGATAATGATTAAGGAGCACAGCACCAGCTCTATTCCAAGCATTTATACCCCTTGAACCCAGTAAAACTCACAGAACCAGCTCTGATCAGGAGAGTGAGGATCCCTCCACCTCAGACCTTGAGTACACCGTGAGTAACCGGTACAGTCAGAAGTTTCTGACATAACGTCACTGGGCCTGAAAAGAACAATCCATAATGCACAAAAGGCTTGTTGGGTTTTGTGTTTTGTTTATTTGTTTGGGTTTTGTTTAGGGTTTTTTTTGTTGTTGTTGTTTTGTTTGTTTTTCCCCTTTTCTAAAAATATGCCAGCTCAGTTTTTCAAGAACCCATTGCTATTTCTAAGGCCTGGCTTGCTCAACAGGAGGGATGGATGAACCCGGCCCAATGAGCCAATACAAGCAAGTGTCCCCGAGGAGTTTTTAGGTTGGTTGAGCTCACAGCCACTATGTGAAACTGTCATTTGTTTCTGGGTACATAATCTGGGGAGCTTCCAGCTGTACATCACCACCAAACACTTGGTTTCTTCAAGTTCTCCAAGTAGGAGGCCATACATACAAGAAATGATGTAAACCAGACCTAAAATGTCAATTCTCAGTTCTTACGGCATGAATGAAGATTTTTATCTAAGACTGGGCAGTTACACAGAACCTGTGTATTCAGTAAGAGAAGACAGCTATTTCTCAGCTTTCTAACTTGCAGTATTCATGGAAAGACACACAGTCATTTGGTCCTTCTCAAACTCGGCAAGCAGGGCAACAGCAAGGGGCCTTCGAGGCAAAGGCAGGCAGCTTCCCCACCCACCAAGAAACTCTCACTGCCTGCTTCCACAATTATTTTCAGTTTATAAGGAGATGAGACAGAAGCAGCTCATAAGAAAAAGTGAATGAAAACCTTACAAGTCTGTGGCACAAAGATATGACTGACTTTAGTGATGTGTCAGAAGAACCTTTTTGCCACCTTCCATTACAAAACAAGTATTATCTTCCCATTTTCCGTACAATTACGTATCAGCTCTAGCCCAGCAGGAGTTCAATATGAAAAGCTGGAAAGGCACTGTCAACACAAACATTATTCAGCTGCTAGGCACTGATATAACACAGTAAACATTATATAATGAGCAATCATTTTCATCTCCCGTTCTACTCCTATGCTAAAGGATTCACCAGGGAGCTTTCAGTGTAACCATCAAGCATTCCTTTATATTAACCAGATAGCCTGCTATCTCCCTGCAGGGGTATTTTAATAAATTATCCATTGCCTCCTTCTAGTGTAATAATCTTTTAGCAGATGTGACCCAATATATTAAATTCAATGTTACAAAGATGTTAAGTTATCTGTTTTCAGAGGATAAAAACATGTAATTTTTCTTCAATGACTTACAGATTTCACCATGTAGCTGAAGTAACGCACAATCAAACAACTGCTAGGGTGATTGGTAGTCCAAATCTCGTTGAGCACTAAAATAGTAATAATTCTTTTATATATCATACTGTGGTCTTGCAAGAGTAATACAGACGATTTTCAATAATGGCCTTGAATGTAAAGACAGGCTTTCTATCTAGGATTGTGGACATAGGATGGCTGAAGACTCCCTCAGAGAAAACAGGTTCCACTGTCAAAGCAGCAAGCTAGGAAGAAGTCTTAGAAGAAACTCAATGCTAACTCTTTCTGTGGGAGAATAAACAATGGCCAGTAACCACAAACAATCTCTTATCTCCCTTCTGTATCAGGATACAAAAGAGAAGCTAAAAAAGAAAAAAAAAAAAAAGAAAAAACTAAGAAGGAAAATATTTTGGAAGCGGTAGTCTAATAAATGTGCAGTTAACTTAATAGCTTGCAATGTCATCCAATGAAAGAGGATGAAGGAGCTATTTTATATACCTATTTGGGCATATGAAAACTAAAATATCAGGCATATTTTATGGTTTTATGTTGAAAGGCACCTTGCCATCACCAAAAGCAGTGACAGTCTTTTTCTACAAAGGACAGAGAAATATCTTTTGAAAAATAATGAATGCACTGCGAGATACCCTTCAGACCACAAGAGCATCACGTGAAAAAAAAATGAAAAGTAACCAAATGATTAAAGGTGATTCAATGACTTACTTTTGAAGAATGGTTAAAAAAATACTTTGTCTTTAATTCTCAGGGGTAGAGGGGGGCAACATTTACATCTGAATAAGCAAGAACAAAGGGAAAAAAGGTAGTAGTAAAGAGTTTGCCACTGGAAGAGAGGTACATACCACTTTAAAAAGCAGCTACAGAGATGAAAAGAATAAATTATTTTCTCTATCACCATAGTCAGGACAAGGAATAAAAGGCTTAAAATTGCTACCACAGGAAATTTGGCTTCAACATCTGGAACTAGTATCTCTGAGCGAGCACAGTAGAACAGATCGCTGAGGGTAGTCGTGGAATGCTAATTACTGGAAATTTGTAAGAACAAGTTGTACAAGCATCTGCCAGCAACAATACACGCAGTTGCTAAGGCCTTTGGTCAACAGAATAGACCAAGTAAGCTTCAGGGTCGCACTTAGTCTTTTTTTCTACAGTTTTTGTAATAGGTTGCTATATGTCAATGCACTTTAGTGCCAAGACTGTAATTACACAGGGAACTTCCATTCTCTCACTTCTTAATTAAAGAAATTCACGCAGAAGCTCGCTGTGCCAGTCGTCACTGTAACTGAGATTCCTCCTAGCCGTACACCAGTGGCCGAGGATTGAAGTTC